GACCCATACCCGATCCATTGCCATCCCTAGTGGGAAATGGATTATTATGTTTAAAAAGATTGTACCAAGCCGGTTCTGGGATGACCTGATTCTGACATTAATAGGAGACCAACTTGATTATGGGGATAATATTTGTGGAGCAGTATTGAGTATCCGTGTTAACGAGGACATAGTGAGTGTGTGGAACCGCAATGCGTTTGAAATTTGTCTGTGATCAACAATATGTCTGTTGTTTGTTTGTTGCCTGAAATCTGTCTGCGAAATGTCATATGTCCACTGTTTTTTTTTTGCCTGCGTGCAATTTGATTTGTCTGATGTCTGCGATTTGTTCGGCGATCTGTCCGATGTTTGCAATCTGTTCTATGATCTGTCCGGTGTCTGCAATTTGTTCTGTGATCTTTCCGATTTTTGCAATGTGATATGTCTGTTGTCTGCGATTTGTTCTGTGATCTGTCCGATGTTTGCTATCTGTTTTGTGTACTATATGTCTACGTTTGACTATTATTCCATTCAGAGTCCTGTCGTTTTTTGTTCCGGTGGAGAGTCATGTCGTTTTAGGCTCTGATGGAGAGTCAACTGTTTTCAGCTCCGGTGGAGAGTCATGTTGTTTTTTGTTCTGGTAGAAAGTCATGTCGTTTTCGACTCCGGTGGAGAGTCATGTCATTTTCGGCTCCGGCGAAGAGTCATGTTGTTTTCAACTCCGGTGGAGAGTCAATTGTTATTTGTATTTGTATTTTTTGTGTCTGTACTCAATTTTCTCATCAAACTCAAGTTGATTTATGTTATACCACTTGAGTTTGAGTGTAATGTAAGATATTTTAGATATTTAGTTTTAGATTGAATAAATTATATTTAGATTTGGTCTTATCCATATATTAGATTACTTAGATTTGAGTCTATCGAGTCTATTTTGTATTGTCTATGTATATAGGTCCCTCTTATTTTGCTAATCAATAATACAATTTTATTATTTTCTCTTAAAATTTCTTAACAGTCTCTGTATAAAATTATCTACAAAGGGTCAATATATTTTCTTTTTTTTTTTCTAAGCAAAACAATTAATCACACGAATGATTTATAGAATAATAAAACTTTTAAAACAAATATTACTTAACATTAATTAATGTCACCCGTCTAGCTAGGCTTTGTTATTATACTACACCCTCATCCCTATCAATTATTTTTAATTAGTGTTTTGTTATATCGAACTTGTGGTCTCAACGCCTTCAGGTCATCTGCTACACATGGTTTGCCTAATATGATTTGCCTTGCCGAGTTAATATCATTTTTTTCGACACGATTCCCAGTATATATAATATATCGTTGTTTTACAAAAAATCAACATTCACGCTATACATCAATTTTTCTTATTTGTTTGAATAAAAAAAAATCAAATTTAAATAATATATTATGTATCTTTATCTAATTTTATTTTTCTTATATATAGAAAGAAAAAAAAAAATCACAAGTTAACGCGTCTAAACTCCAACTTAGTATAGAATTGAAGTTGGTTTGTTTCTTCGATTATTGTAATTAAGTTTTACTAAAGAAATGAATTTATTTAAATATGAATAAGAGTTAAAATTTTACATACTATACTATTTTTTTTTGTTTTGGTTTGAAATTGAAAATAAAATTGTGATTTAAATATTATTTTGCTATAATATTTTGTGAAAATATATATATATATATGTTTTTTATTATAAATTATACAAATTAATAATATTCAACTTTCCTAATGTATAATAATTTTTATATATAAATATATAATTGATTTTTATATATGTCCTATCTAATCATTATTTAAATAAATAAATTACAATTTTCCGGACAAAAGAATGCCATCAAGTATAGTGGATACGTCAGCCATATTAAATTATTGAATGTATTGACGTAAGCAAGACAAGAAAATTAATGAAAATGGTAAGTTGGCAAAGAGTTGGTGTATGAATTGTTTTTGTTTGGATGAAAATTTATACTTAGGGTATGTTTCTTTCGGGCAAATTTGGGTTTCGATTTAGTTTTTACTCCCTCCTACCCACATAATTTGTCCATATTTTCTATTTTTGTCCGTCTCACATAACTTGTCTTTTTTATTTTTGGAAATATAATTATGCCTGTTTGGTTCATGAACTTTTTTTTGTGGGATTGGGATTTCACATGAGGATTTATATGTGATGAAATTTATTATATTTAGGATTTGGAATCCTATCATATGTTTGGTTGGTAAAATTATGCGGGATTTATATTTCTCAAGTCTTGTTTGTTTTTTATATGAGTGGAAGGATTTTGATTTTTTATATTCTAAATGACATAATTGTCCCACTATAAATTTTATTTATTTTGATAAATTAAACATCTAATTTATAATATATATGAATTGAAAATGTATTAATAATTTTATAAGGATTACAATAGGTTATCGTAAACTCGAAACCCGACTCGAACCCGACCTATTTATTTGAAGTTGAGTCCAATTATTTGAGTATTAGATCTTGATCCGAGTCATATTATGGGTATTATAATCGGGTCCGAATCGGATCTAGGGTCTAAGCGGACCATACCCGCACCTAGACTCGATTTATAATATTAATAATATATCGACTATACATATGAAAAAATAATTTCTAACAATATAATTATATTAAAAATATTTTTTTAAGTTTAATTTATTTATTATTTTATTATAATATTTTTTTTCATAAAATACATATATAATATATATCGGATCGGTACATGTGTAATTTTAAATTAAAATTTAAGAATCGTAAAAAGAATTGGATTTATTAGATCTATCGGGTTTTACCGGGTATAGTTTCGGCCTGGTATAATCAGATCAAATTTGGATCTAAAGTTTAACAATATATATATTTGGGACGGATTTCAGTTCCGGCTGAATCCAACTTATTGTCATCCTGGTAATTTTATAATTTAAATAAAATTTATAATAAATAACAATTTAAAACAATGGATTTATTAATTTATTTAAAAAATATTGTACCATAAAAAATAATATTAATTTAATTTAATATATAATTTAAATAAAAATTAATTTTAAAATTATTTAATTTAATTTTATATAAATATATTTATAATATATAATATATTTTTTTTATATAAGAATATAAAAGTAAAATTTAAGATCCGAATGAGATTTAAAAGTAACAGGGGTACCCAATTACTAATAAATTCCTCATTTGTAGGATTTTGGACCATGTTTTTAAATCTCAATATTTTAAATTCCATTATTTTTTTTTACCCAAACATGGATTTCATGGGATTTTAAAATCCAAATCCCATGAAATCCTACCAAATACTTGAAACAAACAGTCCCTTAGGGTGTGTTTGTTTGGGGGTTTAGATTTTGAGTTGGGATTTGAATAGTAAAAATTTTGAATTTGAATAGTTGTATGATGTAATATAAGTATTTGATTTGATATTTTTGAAAAAAGAAAATTGGATAAATAGTGAAAATCTAATCCACTTCCCCAGTCATGCGCAACCTTAAAATATGACACAAAAAAAATAATGACTCATTTTCTTATGGACCCACTTATATTGACATCAAAATTGCGGGTGTATTTGGTCGCCAATCTTAAGTTAAGTAGGTACAATGCTCTATTTTATTTTATTTTAAGTATTTTTAATATATTTATATTTTTATTATTTAATTATGAAATAATTATTTTATTTATTTTTTATTAATTATAGACTATTATTTTAAATAAATATATCCACTTTAGCATTATATCATTATTTGTATAAAAAAAGAAATTATCTTTACAATACTATTAACAATCACTATAATTAAAATGTGATTATGTATTAAAGTTTGTGAAAATTAAATATATACATTTTCATATGAGATTAATTTAAAATATTATATTTATATTTTTTAACTATATATATATTCAAAATTTTATTTTTTATAAAATTAATTTTATACTACTTTTGACTTAATGTTAAAAATATCTTATATTTGTATAATTTATTTTACAAATTTACTTATATTTGTATTATAAAAAAACTATTCTTACACGTAAAAAAAATATATGATACTCTTTTTATGAGAAGAGCGAAGTATTAGTTATAAGTAAATAAATTTATTTATTTTATATAAATCTTATTTTATAGGAAATAATATTCATAGTAAATATGTATTTTTATTGTATAATCTTTAAAATATTTAAATACTACTTTCGTCCCATAATAGAGCACTATTTATTTTTTTGCAAGTAAATTTTTTTAATATAAGTATTATATTAGTTTATATTGAAAAAAATAAAAATACCTTTATTATATTGTGTGATATAAAAATAATAGTATTTGTGCAATATATTGAAAATTGTAAAAATGTTAATTATGTTAGATATATAGTAAAATTATTCAATCAGGAATAATATCATTGTCTTGAGACAGATAAAAATAAAAAAAATTGTATCGTTTTTGTCGGACAAAGAGACTATATATATATATATATATTATTTTTGTTAATTTAAAATTTATTTTATTACAGATCAAATAAATTCAATTTAAAAATTTCAAACATTAATAATAATAAAACAAAATATCATACTAAATTAAAAAATGATATCCTTATTTGATTTGAGACAGACAAAAATAAAAAATTGTATCTTCTTTACCAAGGAACAGACAAAAATGAAAAATTGTATCTTCTTTACTAAGGAACGATATATACTCCCTCCGTCTCGGTGTAACGTTGCCGTTTATTTTTGTACGTAGATTTTTTAATATTAATATTATAATGAGTTGTAGTGATAAGACGAAAATATCCCTATTAATAATGACATTTGTATAATATAGTGTAACTTAAAAAAATATTTATTATGTTAAGTAGCTAATACAATTATTTAAATTATAAATTATCCTAAATTTCAAATAGTAATAAAAAAAAAAAAAAAAAACCCTTAATTTTCCGTACTACCGTATTAATTAGTAGTGTGTAGAGGTTTTATCACATATATCATCCGGTTGATTATTGAGAAAAGCAAATTAGAAATTAGCAAAGCAAGAGGAAGGAGCGAAGCAGCAGCAGCAAGGCGGAAGGAGACGAGTCAGTCCCCAAATCCAATCACCTCCCGACACACTACTTTCCCTTTACCAATTTCTCCTTCCTTCCTTCGATCAATCGATCGATCGCCATCGCAATCGCAGTTTCCATTATTACCAGCCCCGCTCAACCCAACTTAAGCTTCAAGTTTCCTGCCTTTATTCGCTGCTCCTTCGAAGTCCAAAAAGATCGATCCACATAAAGCACCCACTCCCCACGAACTCCGCTCCTCCGCCGCCGCTTTCACTGCCGGAAAGTTTTCAGGGGAAGAATTTCCGAGAGGATTATCGAAAGTTTCAAGAATTTTCAGTTTATGATAATTTTTTGTTTTTAGGTTTTCCAAGGAAATTTCAAAAATCGATGAGGGCTTTTCGGTTTTTGCTCTTGGTTTTCCTTTCCGGACTTCACGGTAACGCTTTCTTTCTTGATTATGTGTTTATTTATTTATATAATATGGAATGAATATTTGTTCATGGCCGAGATTCAAATTCTATCTTGATTCAGTTTGTGCTGAGATAATCCTCTGGTTTTCGATCGTTTGTTCAGATCATCAATTTCTCTTCCTATTTCGTGTATCTGTAGAAATTAGGTTTGGAGTTCTGGTATAGAGATTTTAATTTGGATATGGTAAGAACTTGACAGTTGATAAATGGAGATAGACAAAGTGATTGTAGTTTAAATCAATTTCTAGTGTTTCTGAGGAAATTAAATCTTGGATAGTTCGATCAAGCTTAACTGTTGTTTTCAATGGAGTTTTACGGGCAGTGTCAAGCGATTCTAGTTTAAAGTAATTCGATAGTTTGATCAAGCTTAGCTGATTTTATCAGTGGAGTGAATTGAATCTTGCTTTTATTGGCTTGAAAAGATTTCAAATATGGAATGTTGTAATAGGTTTTTGAGTCGAATTCGATGTCTTCTTTATCAAACTGCAAGTTTAAAGATTTAAATTTGATATCTTTAGAATCGAATCGATTTGATTGAGTCGTCTGCAATGCAAGAATGTCAATCTTATCAATTGTAGCTATAGATCTTGTTGATTGAATCAATTTTCTTCGATTTGTTTATTTTGCGAAACCTTGAGGCTATGGTTACTTACAATCTTCGGTAACTTTCTCAGCATCCGTGGCTGTTGCATTCACCGGAACATACGGAATCAATTATGGTAGAATCGCAAACAACATCCCTGCACCCGACAAAGTCGTTACGCTACTTAAGCAGGCGAAAATAAAAAATGTCAGGATCTACGACGCGGACCACAGTGTTCTAAACGCTTTTAAAGGGACTGGGCTCGAGCTGGTCGTCGGGCTGCCCAACGGAAATGTGAAAGACGTAAGTGCTAGCGCCGATCATGCCATGACTTGGGTCAAGGATAACGTGAAAGCGTTTCTTCCAGACACGCAGATCGTCGGCATTGCAGTGGGTAACGAAGTTCTAGCCGGGAGCGACTACGAACTTTCGACAGCTTTATTGGGCGCCGTCAAGAACATACACAACGCAACAAAGTCGCTCGGGATCGACAAAGTAATTCAGATCACCACCTCTCATTCGCAGGCGGTTTTCGCGAATTCGTTCCCTCCCTCGTCGTGTATTTTCAAAGAAGGCGTCGCTCAGCTGATGAAGCCTCTTTTAGAGACGTTTGCGGAAATGGGGTCGCCGTTTTGTTTAAACGCCTACCCGTTCTTGGCGTATACGTACGATCCGGTGACGATTGATATCAACTATGCTCTTTTTCAGCCGAATTCGGGGGTGTACGATCAGAAAACTGATTTGCACTACGATAACATGCTTGATGCTCAGATCGACGCGGCTTACGCTGCCTTGGAGAATGCCGGGTTCAAAAAAATGGAAGTTATAATTACGGAGACGGGTTGGGCCTCTCATGGCGACCAAGGCGAACCGGCTGCGACTCCCGGCAACGCCAAGACGTACCACCATAACTTGCGGAAAAGGCTGGCGCTGAAAAAAGGGACTCCTTTTAGGCCAAAACATGTCCTCAAAGCGTACATATTCGCGTTATTTAATGAAAATTCGAAACCGGGAGCAGGTTCGGAGAAGTACTATGGATTGTTTAATGCCGATGGGACTATCTCGTATGATATTGGGTTTTCGGGACTTAAATCTTCCTCTGCTAGCGCTTCGCGTATCTCCTTCACGGTAATTTAATTCTTTTGCGAGTATTGTTTTCGATATTTTGATTAAATTTTGGCGTTGTTTGTTCGATATTGTTAGGGTGTGTTTCATTTGATTTGTTTGGAAAAAAGTTTGAAATGAGTTTGGTGTTAAAATAACGCTTGATGGGATGTTTTGTAAAAAAAAATATATATATATTTTTTTGGAAACACAAAATTCAAATAGTAAAAAATCGGATGTTTGGCTCAAAAGAAACAGACCCTTAGTTTTTTAGCTTATTATTTCGACGATTAAATTGCTCTAACCTCATTTTTGCTATACCTATTTGTCATTTCAGTTACTTGCCTCGCAACTTTCCGGAACTTTTGTGCTTTCGCATTGCAAATTGTGCTATTTTTAATTTGGTCTTTGAAGGTTATCGTTGTAAGAGAAAAAATGTATTTGGTGTGATATTTTTTTTGAGAAAATTATTGTTGATAAATAGAGTAAAAATTCGAAAATATCTATGCAAATAGACTTTTAGTTGATGGATGTTTAATTTTCACGCCTAAACTCACTAACTGATTCTGATGACTCGACGAATGATCTATGCTTTCTCTATTGCTGGTTTCTACTAAACAATGACTTGATGTCGATATTTTTTCGGCTCTATTTGCTGTAATATCTTACTCTACCATGTTTTGGCATTTCAGAACCTTCGAGGCAGAGGCTGGTGCGCGGCCAGCGGCTCTTTGATATCGACGGCTTTAGCCCCTCTATTGTTTTTGCTTTTGATCAGATAATGAGTAGCAGCATCAAGTGTTACTGCTATTACACTAGTGCAAAAAAAAGAACTTAAGACAAAAAAAGGAAGAATTGAAATGATTATATAGTGCATTTCGAAGAAGTTATGATGTATTAACTGAAAGGAGAAGAACAGACAGCATCGGCTGCCGATCATTTTATTTATCAAATTTTGATGATAAATAAAATTTTTGTTGGGGCTATTGTACACATGTTTTGCATTTTACACTCTATTTTGTTGTTCCCTTTGTCTTTTAGAATTTGGATTCATTCATTCCTAAATATCTTTTTCTTTTTTTTTTTTTTTTTTTTTGGGTTTTTTGTTCTTTCGGGTTTGCGATATGAGATTCTTGTAGGCTACTTCTTCTAGTCGTCGTCTTCGCGATTTCTGGAGTCCGAGTAGTTATGATGGGATTGTGTTACGAGCATTTTGATTATGTTTTTCCGGTTGAACTGATTATGTTTTTTCGGTTGAACTATGATTAAACAACGGGTTTTGAATTATCTGAATAATATTTAATATGATATTTTAGGGCAAAGTTCACTCTACAAATATGCTCGGTTGTCAATAGTTTTTTTTTTTTTTTTTTTTTTTTTTATATATGATATTTTTTTATTATAGTATTTTTTTTATTTTTTATTTTTTCATATTAGTATGTCCAATAGGAATTGAACTTCAAGAAAGTGATAGCTCAATTATTTGAGCTATAATCCCTTCAAGACTATAAATTTTTATTGATGATTGGTTTGCATCCTATCATTGAGATTACTTAAAAAAGGTTCAACATTTGGGAGCTTATTAATACCATAGAATTGTTAGAAATTTTGGGGAAAAATAATGAGATTGTCTTATTGATCATAAAAAATAAGGAGCTTATATAATACAAAACAGACTCCATATATCGACTCAAATCTAAATAATATAATCTATGAATAAGATCAAATCTAATTATAAATCTACTAAATCTAAAATCGAATATCTAAAATATTTCAGCATTCCTTTAAAGTCAAGTGGTATAACAGAAACCAACTTGAATTTGATAAAAAATTTGAATATAAACGCTTAGCAGTTGACTCTCTACTCACAAACGATATGACTTTCCACCGGAGTCGAAACAACATGACTCCACCGGAGTTGAAAATGAGATGACTTCACCGGAGTCGAAAACTACATGACTCCACCGGAGCTGAAAATGAGATAACTTCACTGGAGTCGAAAACGACATGACTCCACCGAAGCCGAAAACAAGATGACTCCATTAGAGCCGAAAACTATATGACTTCACCGGAGTCGAAAACGACATGACTCCACCGAAGCCGAAAACAAGATGACTCCATTAAAGCCGAAAACTATATGACATCACCGGAGCTAAAACGGCATTAATTGATTAAGGGCGTGTTTGGCAATTAGCTGATAGCTGTTAGCTGATTCAATTAGCTGGTTTGACTAGCTGATTCGATTAGCTGTTTGTATTAAAATGTTTGGTAAAACAACTGTTTGATATTAGCTGTTTATACGTAAAATGACAATTGACGACATTTCTATTTTATTCTTGTTTCTAATATATTCAATTATGTTTTTTTGAGTTTAGAATGTTTAAAATTTTTTGTTATTAGTTATTGAAAATTGTAAAAGTGTTATAAAAATATTTATTTTTATTACAGTTAGATTTAAAAAATAATATATTTTTATTAAAATATATAAATAGTTTTTTTTATTGAAAATGATGTAAAATATAAAATAATAATTTTTTTGTATATATTTATTATGTTAGTTATCGATTAGTTCATTATATTTATAATTTTTAATAAATTTAATTTATTTTTAGTATAAAATATATATAATGTAATTTTAATAAAAAAATTAATTATTCATATTTATATTTTTTATTTTATGTTGATTTTAATAAATTTATATATTTTACAATTAAAATAATTTTTATATAAAAATTGATTATTTTAAATTTATAAAAGTAAAATTATAATATAATAAAATATTTTTCAATATAATTAATAAATAATCAAAATATATTTATTTGTGTAAAATGTATAATAAATTTTTAAGGGCATATAAGGAATAAAAAAAATTTATTTCAAAACGCTAGCTAAGTTAGCTTTTCAGAAATTAGCTTTTTGGATCCAAAAAGCTAATTTACCAAACACCTAAATTAATTTTTTGAATGATCAAACAACTAAAATTATTCAATAAATTAAAAGCTCTTAAAAACGCTGTTCGTCAAACATCCCCTAAATAAATTTTGTTTGGATTGGATGGAACGAAATCCACATGCGTTTAGTTTAATATATGTATCATTCAAATTGTAATACTCAATAATGAAGTGACACGTGGGGATTCACATTGACCAATGTGTCCAAGACTTTGGAATTGTTCAATTCAATTCTTACTCGTCACTTCATTTGCTTCTCACATTATCATATATATTTTTAATAGTCAAAATTTCGAATAAAAAAAATAACTTAATATTATTTAATAAAAATAAATATTTAACATAATATATATTTTTTAAAAAAATTAATGTAATTTGCATATTAATCAATTATTTAATATAACAATAATTGTTAGATGCAAACTCAACTCTTTACAAAATTGAAAGAAAAATCTACTTCTTATAAGTTCCATAGCAACTCCATTGTGAGATTTTTTAGAGAATATTTAAAAATAAATTTATTCATGTGGATCCAATCCAAAGCATACAATATCAGCGTTGAGTTAGCCAATAATAATAATAATAATAATAATAATAATAATAGCAATTCATCTAAAGAGGTCTAGTTGGTGTTTTTGTTTTAATAGTAATTTAGACAAAAATAATAATTTATTTTATAGAAAAATCATGAAAATTGAAAGAAAAAATAAAAAAAATTGTTAAATAAACACAATATGGTTCTATTTTGTTTGTTAATTTCTCTGCTTTTTTAATAAATTAATTTCATACTCCTCAATCAATATATATATTCATTTATTTTAATATAAAATATCATATTCAAATAATTAAAATCTATAAATAAATAAATATATATATAATTAAACACACATAATCCTAGAATTTCCACAAAATCTTCATAAAATTTTCTTGCTTCAATATATATAGGGGCAATTATGTGCCACGCTAATATATAAAATATAAATTGACAATATATAATTTAAGTGTAAACAAATAGTACACTGTATAGATTAATTTGTTTTTTAGTTTTGTAATTGATCTCTTTATCATTTTAGTCGGTAATTAGAGTTGTTGCAAATTAATTCTGTAAATGAATAATTTTCCCAGTTTTAGTTCTCCTGCGCCGGATATGTCTACATGGAACACGTGTGGCTCGCCGAATGACATGTATTCGCCAGATCAGTGATACATGACGGACACGTGGATTTATTTAATTTTTTTTTAAAAAATTTATATATTTTGTATTTGGTCCAATTAAAAATAAGACAAAATATATAAAATTTTTTTAAAAAAAAAGACCCACGTGTCGACATGTGGCTTCCGGCAAATCATGTGGATGCCATGCAGGCATCTTCGATGCTGATAGAGTAAAAATGCAAAATTTTTTTATTTACGAGACTAGTTTGCGGCTGACTTCAATTATAGAATTAAAATATTAAATTTGTTTAGATACGAGAAAAAAAAAAAAAAAAAACAATTTCCCGCATATATATATTAAAAATATAATATAAATACAATGCAAAATGTATTATCAATAATTAGTAGGACACATACTACGATTAATCTTATCATACAAGATATGTTAATTTAACCGACAGTTCGTTGTAACAATCTATTCTATACTATTAATTCAAGTTATGTACTAACACATTATACTAGTTGGAGCTGAATCTTTCAACTAATTTTCAAGAACATTCGATTGAATAGGAACCTTTGGATGATAATTTAATTTAATTTAATTTAATTTGTAGAATATGTCAAACAAGTGACATAGGAATAAAATTGACTCCACAATCCAATTAATTAATTTTTCACATATTTACATTTACATATGTTCGACACTTAATTTTAAGTTATTACAAATATTGTCTAAAAACATTTCAAATTAAATGGCACTCTCAACCTTAGCTACTCTGGCGGCGGCGGTGGTGGTCGTGGCGGCAGAACTGGTGGGCGACACAAAAGCCACCACCTATGTCGTCGGAGACACCTTTGGCGGCCATTGGAAGGTCCCTTCCGGCAGCGCCGAGAACTATACCAGTTGGGCTTCCGAACATGGTTTTCAAGTTGGTGATGTTTTAGGTAACTTTAATTTTTTTTTTTTCAAAAAAAATAATAATAAATATTTTTTACGATGTAGTTTTATTTTTTATGAAAACAATATTATTTTTTCTAATAAAATATCACAATAAACTATTGTTTAAATATAAAAAAATACGAAAGACACCCTCGCTTTTTGTATTTTTGTTGTTTTATGTACTTACTAATTCGTCATGACTATTGATTTTTTGAGATTTTAGTTTTAATATTAATTTGAATATGATTTTGGGAAAATAAAATTGTATTATTACAAAAATCATAAAATTTGAATACTAAAAATTTTGAAAGAAAAGAAAAAATAAATAATGATCAAAAGAACAAAACCGTTGATGAAGAATTTAGTGGATTTTGAGGTATTTATTATGCAAAATTTTTAATATAACTTTGGTTAATAAAAGGAAATAAAAATAAATACTTTTATTGCAAAAATTATCGGAACTGTTGCTATTGCATAATATATAATAGCAGGATCACATATGAATTTAGAAAATTTTGGAGAATATATATAAATAATTTTTAAAAATAATATTTTAACATTAAAAGATAGCTACAAAATTTGGCTTGTTGTTCCCTATAATACATTTTAAAGAGAACTAAATATTATGATATGTATCTGTTTTTTTGTTTTTTTTAAACATAAATTTTGAAATATTATTATCACGTACTTATGTAGTTTAAATAGAAGTATGAAAAATAATTTACCACTGGAAAAAGATAATTTAGTTAAATAATAGATGATATTTTTATAATAGTACATAAATTGTAAAAGTTATATATATATATATATAAATACAATTATGTGGGAAGTAATTAGAACCGTTAAAATGGATTGAGTCTGTGGGTTGGCTCGCCCCGCTTTACTTTTAAGGAGGGTTGGATTGTGATTTTTTAAACCCGTTAAAATGCGGGTCTAAATAGGCCAACTCGCATGGGCCGCGGTTAGCCACGAGTCAAGTAAATATAATAATTAGTACTCACTCGTTTAACTAAATGTATTTTTTACCAGTTTTTACTGTTATATAAAAAATTATAATAAAACTAATCAAATATTAATACAATAATATATTTTAATATTTTATATAAATTACAAACATACCATTATAAATAAGTTAATACGAATAAAATAAAATTTATATTATCATTAGCTTAAATAAATTATCAATATTGTCTACACGTTGTTTTTCTTCTTTAACTATGTTATTCATGATATTGTTATTTGTTTTGATTTTTCATCATTTGTTTTGTTCGTCTTCCATTTTATTATTTTATAATTTTATAAATTCATAAAATTAATTATGATTTATTTTTAAAATGAAGTATTTCTTATTATTAACTTTTCTAAATACACCATTAATAATATTTAGAATTGAGAATTTTTATATTTGTTTTTTATTTTAAAATATTTATTATTTAAATTATACAATAAAACTATTTTTAGCTATTTTAAATATTAATTACGAAAATATTTATAATATTAATATTCTTTTAATATTTTAAAAAAGTCCGTTGGCTAGCCCGCTTAGCTCGCCACCCGCCGGTGGTTTGGGTTGGGTTGGGTTGATGAAATTTTGATCCGTCCCGCCGCAGATTGGCCCGCAAACAACTCGCTTATTTGCGGGTTATGGTAGATTGTGGGCCAATTCGCTCCACTAACCTATTTTGACAGGTTTAGAAATGATATTACTAAAAAAAAATTGGATACATTGGTTTCGAATCAATCAAAATAAAATATTGATACATTGATTATGGATGAAAAAAATATTTTATACTCCCTCCGTCCTATGTAATATGGGTGTATTACTGTAGACATGGGAATTTAGGTAAAGTATAATTATTAAGTAATTAAGAAGTGTATTAGTAAAAAATAATTATTATTTAGTAAAAATAATTATAGATTAAGATTAAGATAAGTAAATAGTTTAATTAAAATTAAGAAATTTTAAAATTTAAAATGCGATTAAAGTGCATAATTATATTTCCAAAAATAGAAATGACAAGTTACGTGAGACGGACAAAAATATAAAATAGGGACAAATTATATGGGACAAAGGAAGTATTAAAAATAAAATATAACATTTGATTACTTGTTTGTAGTGTTTAATTTCTCGACAGGCAATCACACTGTAGCCCATGTAACAAAAGCGTCGTATGATACGTGCAATATCACGAATCCAATAGAATTGATCACCGAAGGCCCGGCCAATGTGACCCTCGACTCTATCGGTGAGAATCACTACATTTGCACGAGGGGCCGACATTGTTCTTTCGGACAAAAAATTTCTATCAATATCACAACTTCCTTATCCACTCCAACTCCAACTTCAACGCCATCTCCAAGCTCGACCGGAACAATCAACAAAATTCGGTTTGTCATGTTAATTATTTCCTGTGTTTTGTATGACATTATGATCGTCTAAACTTATTTTGTGGAATTTACTTATGACGAATTAATGTTGAAAGGAATAAAATTATTACGTTTTCGACTATGTAATATAATTTTGTTTAATACTAAGAATGAACAAAGTTGTTACTTTTTCGATTTTTGTAATGTAATCTTTATTTTGAAAATGGTTGCCATTAAGGTGCCCTATTGATTTAATACAATATATCCCATCTATCATAGGATGAATTTAATAGTTTACATTTTTCAAAAGTGTGCTGAATGGTTATAAATAGAAACGGGTTAGTGGGGCGGATTAACTTATAATCTACCTTAATTCGCAAATAAGCGGGTTGTTCGTAGGCCAACCCGCGGCGGGACGGATCAAAATTTCATCATTTCAATCCAGCCCACTGGCGGATGGCGAACTAAGCGGGCTAGCCTACGAGCTTTTAAAAAATATTAAAAGAATATTAATATTATAAATATTTTCGTAATTAATATTTAAAAATAGCTAAAAATAATCTTATTGTAAAATTTAAATAATAAATATTTTAAAATAAATAACAAATTTAAAAATTCTCAATTCTAAATATTATTAATTGGTGTATTTAAAAAAATTAATAATAATAAATACTTCATTTTAAAAATAAATCATAATTAATTTTATGAACGTGTAAAATTATAAAATAATAAAATGGAAGATGAACAAAACAAACGATGAAAAATTGAAACAAATAACAATGTCATGAATAACATAGTTAGAGAAGAAAAACAACGTGTAGACAATATTGATAATTTATTTAAACTAGTGATAATATAAATTTTATTTATTCGTCTTAACTTATTTATAATGGTATGTTTGTAATTTATAAAAAATTAAAATATATTCTTATATTAATATTTGATTAGTTTTATTATAATTTTTTAATACGACAGTAAAAAATGGTAAAAAAATACATTTAGTTAGACGAGTGAGTACTAATTATTATATTTATTTGACCCGCGGGTTAACCCGCCCACTGCGGGCTAACCCACCCTCAACCTGCGACCATGCGGGTTGGCCCATTTAGGCCCATATTTTAACGAGTTTAAAAAATCACAACTCAACCCTTCTTAAAAATAAAGTGGAGCGGGCCAACCCGACAGGCTCAATTCATTTTGACGGCTCTAGTTATAAATTATGTGTTATTAGCATTTATAAATATTCTTGAGTAAATATCAATGTGTTAAACGTCGTGTTAAATAAAAAGATATAGTTGTATTCTATGGATACACTTTAACTATTGAAATCAATTGTAAATTGTGTTGTACATACTATATCATATGTTGTTTTGATAGTAAATTAATTTAATAAAAAAATTATTTAATGGATCAAGTGAGAATCATACTCACAGTCAACAATAAGATAAAAGCTTGCCATCAAACTACATTTTAATTTGACACCATTTCATTACTTAATATATATATATAAATAAATAAATTTTTAAATAATAATTTATTAAATCGGGCCGGCCAGACACAGCACAACCTGGATTGTGCCGGGTCAGGCACAATCCAAAAAATTTTGGAATTATTTTTGTAAGCCCAAATATAATTTTTTCATTTCAAGTTGGAATCGAATTTTTGAATCATACTTATTTTTTTCAGCTCTAACCATAATATTATAATGAATAAAATAACTTAATAATTTCGTAAAAATGTATCATATGCTTTTTTTTTTTTGTTTTCTTGATTAATTGTGACGAACAAAAACCTTAACGGTCGATAACATATATATTACACAATCTATATTGAATAAATTCATAATCTAAATTAAAAATTTCTCATTATAATCGTATCAAATGTTACAAACCTATACACGGTCATTCTAACAGTATCACTCGTAACACGTTATAAAAAATAAATACGAAAATGTTCGAATTAACCACCGAGACCCCCAAAAACTAAGGCTCCCTACCCTAGGAAAGGATCCTCAGACTAAAACCAAATAAATTTATAACATTGGAATCCACAGCCGCTACTCATCCCGACGTCAGAAATTTGAACTCATAACCTTACGGTCACGAGTTCATCCCTACACCACTAAGCCATCCATTTCGGGACTGTATAGATACATTTCTTATGTGTATAAATAAACCGGATAAAGTTTTAGACCAAGGATCCCATCCCGTATCCCTCCAAATAGCTGAAAGCTACGCACAAAATCATCCGGCGCGACGCATACAACCGCCGGGTAGTAGAAACCTGAATTTTTCGGCATTCTTGATCAAGTAAGCCGGAAGATGAACGGCGGAAGTCGACCGGGGAATCGGCCCCATCTTCTTGATCAAATCCTTGAAAGTGTACTCTTCCGGAAGCATGTCGAACAGATCATCGCCCCGACAGATTATTTTCTGAATCCTCGAATACCTCAAGAACTCCTTATACTTCACCCTATCGGCGTGGCTGTACGCCGTCATTTTGAAGATGAAATCGCTCAGATACCGGAAGCAAAAGCTGCAATGCCAACCCGCATCGGAGAGAATAACGTCGGTCTGGCGCGAATGTCGGTACAACGTCCGCGGATTGTAGATATGCGCAGAGGCGCGCCAGCTGCTGTAGTCGACGGGGAACTCGAACGAGTAGAGGTAATGCTTCAGCTCGAGATGAAGAACCGGCGGCACGCCATCGCACCACTGCAGAAGTTTAATGGTGTGAGGGCTCGGGATTTCATCCGTATCGGAGGCGATAAGGATATCGCCGGAGGATATTCCGGCGTCGTGAAGTAGCCAGTTCATAGCTATACGATGATCGGCTTCGAACGTAAACGGGTCGTGCTTCGACCCGTACGGAGCGACGCGTCCGGGTAATACGCTGTGAACAATCTTATCCTCGGCGAAAGCGAATCTGTCGCGGTTTTGCGCAAAGTGCAGAGGCTTTTTCATACCAGTGAACGTCGTGTTCGATTCCAAGATTACGAATTTCGCGACATAAGGGTAGAGTTCCTTCCACCGGATCTCGAGCAAGTCCAATTCATTGCTGAATATAATTCCATCAAAGACGCGCCGAGGTTCGGATCGCAATGACCAGCCGTGGAGACTGCAAAGATAGTCCATCGAGACATTCTCGGCGTAATAATGCGGTATACGCTCGAATGGTGGTGGAGGTTTGTCCCAAAGCGGCCGGAAAAAGTAGGAGAGCTTTCGACCGTAACTGAATATCACGGTGACAGTAAGCGGCACGAGTATTAACAATGTAATGAAGAGGAATTTCCGATTCTTGCGCTTAGAGGCATGCCGAGCAGATCTCAAAGCCATTCTATGAAGGCATTGGATTGAGATGCATTATTTATAAATAATCAAGTTTCAATCGCTCATCATCTGCAAGAATAAAGAGATACATTAAGCTAGGAAATCGACAAATATATACGACATATCTTCTGTTAGACTAAAGCATAAAAACTAAGAAATTTTACAATTCTAGAAGTATGAAAATTACAACAGATGAGACTTAGTTCGACATCAAGTGTGAAAATAAAGAAGTAAGATTTCTGGCTTTTTACGCGCGAAAATAATTCAGTTCTGTGTTTGTATCTTGCTTGTATATAGTGAATCATTAAAAGTGATGGTCTCGGACTAATCTATATTATTTGAAATTCCGTGATTTGCAAAAAAGAACCTTTTCGGACAACTATGGATAGTTTATTTTTTGTAGAGTTCCTAATTTTACACCAGAAACGTGAAACTCAAGCTAACCAAAGAACTGATACATTTTATTTAATACGTCAATGGGTGAAAAAGTCGTATGCATTTCAAACAGAATGATATTGCAAAACAGAAGATGCACAGAGGTATGCAGAATCACTCAGCCATTAATGTTTTACGCTGATGATCACATTAGATCCCTCGATAAAAAAATATATTCGATTTCCAACATTTGTAGCAGCAATTACTCGAAATTCAATTCAAAGTAACACACAAACTATGAATAAAAACAATCCGCAGATCAAATTATTGTGTAAACATATTTGATTACTTAATTCAGTTCTTCAACACAAACATTCAATCATACTAAAGATACCTAACATCATAGCACAGACAGAACTTCACAGTCCTGTTTCTCATCATTGTATGCTTTAATCCCATTAAACGACATTCTGTTTTTAATTACTCGATGAATTGATATTCCTCATTATCTTAGTAGCAGCACATAAATATAAAGAGCAAAGCAATCATCTTCCCCTTCCACCTTTAGGGCAACTAAACTCGAAACACAAATTCAACAAACGACGCTACGATTGTTCTTTTCTTACAAAATGCCACAATATCTTCAATATACATGCACAACACCAACTTTTCCCCCCTACTCTGGATGAACCCTAAATTTTATTCTAAGATATAAAAACCTAAAGTAACCATTTAATACCTGAAATTTTTTTTTCCTCTCTAGAACTACTGTCATATAAATCATACCCAAATAATTCAATCAACAACACCTTATTGATACAGAAATAAATACATAATGATCTGAATTCAATGTTCTTCCCATTAAGAAGATTAGAGCATGCTACAATTATGAAATTTAACTACTTCATGCCACTCTTCAATTCAAATTTCAATACCTTTGAACTTAATTTCATTAACTATAACTGAAGCACCAAATTATCAGACAGAATTAAGGCCAGCAACATCTAGTTGAGGAAATAAACTAATTTTAAAGACGAAAACACATTATTCCACAGATCCAGTTAAAATCTCCGCCAACAATTCAATGATTTAGGCACTCTCATCTAAAATCGCAACATCAACAAACGCAGTATCGAATAATCAGCTGCAGCAAACAGTCAATTAAGGCAAAGAGATTTGGATAGTCGTTAATACAAATCGTGGGGAATTAGGGAAGTCAACGGCTAACCTAAATTCAGGTTTTGAAGGAAATAATCAAATCTTTTGCAAAATAGATGAGTAAATTGGACGAAATCTTCGACATACCTTTGCATTGCGGCTCCAGATTCGCATTGAAACGCGCTGTATGCTTGCAATTGGAGCGAGAGAGGAGGGAGGGAGAAAGGAAAGCAGGTGGACCGCGAAGAAAGGAAGGTTCTTGAATAAAAGTAATTCATGTAGGCTTTTTTCTTGTGTTTGGGAGACCAATTACAGAATAAAAAGATTTCTTACAACCGAGTTTAGTAAAAATCTAAATTAGTACTCCTTTCATTAGCAATTATTATTATTTATTTTATTTTATTTTATTTTATTTTACACGCCCATTAATGTAAATTAGTATTTTAAAATTTAATTAAAAATTAAAAATAGAAATTTTTATTTGAATATACTAAAATGATAAAATAAAAAATTTACTAATGAACAAAGAGAATATATAGTATTTTATTTTTATATTAAAAATAATATTATTTTTTAATGAGATATTTAAACAAAGTACTTTTGATCTCATTTAATTTCTCCGCTCTTTCTATTTTATCTGTTTTATATAATTTTTTTTAACATTTTAATCACATTTTTAAAATTTATAATTTATATATTTTTATTTTAATTAAACTATTTTGGCTAAATTGCACAAAACTGATTTCATGAACTCCTTCGTTGTTTCATAAACTATGCGTCTAACCTCTCGGCGGTCCTTATTTAATGATATTTGACCTAAATGCGCCAAACTGCCAGTAAATTTTAGAATATTAATTTATAAACTTCTAAAATTACAAATATATATATATTTATATTTAATTTGAAAAAATAGTAATTATACTAAAAAATAGTTATCACATTTTAAGATTTTACTTTTACTGTTTTTTTTAGGCTAAATATAAGAAAAATAAATATACTTTTAATTTTAGGGATTTAAAAATTGAGATTCTAAATTTTATTCGCAGTTTGGACGCATTTAGGTCAAATACCATTAAATAAGGATTGACAAGGGGGTTAGATGCAGAGTTTATGAAACCACGAGGAGTTGTACGCAGTTTTAAAGTATGAAGGATTTGATGCAATTTCGTGAAACCACAGGTGAATTTTGTGCAATTTAGTCCTATTTTGTTATCTTAATTTTAATATATAATTATTTTTATTAAATTATAATTATTATTACCAATACATTTTTTAATTACTTACTAATTACACCGTACTTAAAACTCTGAATCTAAACTAAAATAAACAAATTAAGTGAGACTGAGGAGTAGTATAATAAACCTGGACGAAATGAGTTTTTAGTTTATTCAGTCCAATAATTCGATATAATATTAATCTTCAATAATTCAATCATATTATTATTTAAAATTATTTCAATAATTTAATTTAAAAATATATATATATACATATATATAATTCACTATTTTTATAGACATACGTAAAATAATTTGATATATAATTCACTATTTGTATAGGCATACTTGACAAGGCGTGGAAAATAATGAATTTTTTTATTGTGTATTTATTTATTTTATTTTATTTTTTACCTATTAAATATACTTATCACGTCTTATATAATTTTTTTATATTTTTTATTTTCCGTCACACATAATTTATTTATTTTATTTTTTAAAAAATAATTAAACATTTTAATTGTATTTTAAATTTTATAATTTTTTACAATAATTAAATTAATTAATTATTTTAAATTTAGTCTTAATTTATAATTATTTGTATTATTTAATAATTATTTTTATTAATATATATTTTTTAATTACTTACTAATTATACTCTTATTTTAATTATCGTATCTACATTAAAAAAACAACTAAAATGAGAGGGAGAGAGCAATATTTTTTCAAATATATATTGTATATAATGTAGTTCATTACTCGACAACCGCATACACCAAGGGTATGTTTGTTTGTGGGTTTGGATTTTGAGTTGAGATTTGAATAATAAAATTTTTGAATTTGAATAATTGTATGAGGTATATAAATAGGTGTTGATGTGATGTTTTGAATGTAAAATTAATTTTTTAGTATAATATAAAAAGAAAAAATAGACGTTTGATTTGATATTTTTTTGAGAAAAAAATGAGATGAATAGTGTATTTGAGGTAGAAATGACAACAAATAATGCAGTCTCCAATATAATTTTTTTAGGTTCATCTTGTAGTAAAACTTTCTATTGTTGTACCAGTTCCACCGATGACATTCATCCTAGACCGAACCATCCTAATCAAGCTTGCAACGGTATTTCATATCTCAGTCAAATAACTCTATAAGATACGTCTATGCAAACAGTGCAATTGTTCAAACATTCAAAAAACTCATTTCATATCGCAATTTCTCAATCAAATAAATTTCTACTGAGTTGGACCTTTCATACTCATAAATTCCCCTCCCCCAAATGATTTAACATAACAAATTTATTGCTCGAGAGTGCATACACTTGCATAAATACGGTCTTCAAGATTGGATCCAACTCAATAGTGTTCGAGACATCAAAAGGTATAAGAAATATTGATAGAAAATATGCTAGTATTGTTTGATAAACAATCCAAATCAAACATGCCCGTCATTCTTGAGATAACGTTTTCTTTTCTTTTTTTTTTTTTTTTTTCAGTGACTAAAGAATCTATGCATCTTATCTATTACCGACTTTTAAATCTCTCTGTTTTTATATTTCTTCTATCGGAATGCCAAGATATTTACAGGGTCAAGGATTGTCTTGACAACCAAGAATTTCAATGGCTTTCGTCATTGTTTGATCGTTGACGTTTATACAATAAATATTATTTTATTGTAAATAATGTTTAACTCTGCAAATACCGAAGATCCTAAGAATCATCTTTGGAACTTGCAAATTCTCCTCACTTCCTCGACAAAGAAGATCGTGTCATCTGCATATTGGATATGACTAACTATGGTTTCCTTAAATCCCACTTTAAATCCTTTGATGGATAGAAAAGAAAATCAAAGAAAACTAATTTAATTTAATTTAATTTTTATTATGCAATAGTAACTCTCTATAGAAATAATTTATCTAAGTATTTATTTTACAATAGATTCAAATCACTATTAAAACAAAAATAAAAATCAAATTTCATAGTAACACATCCTTTGATATATTATATACAGTATGTTTTTATAAATAATTATGAATTGAACTTCAAGAACCCTTAAAAAAGGAAAATTCTCAAAAGATTTAAAAATAGAATCCAACAATGTCCCATGATGTTCTAACAAAATTGGCCAAACCCTCCAAGGGAAATCTCGATGACAGAATCCTTGTAGATTAAGCAAATTTATCACTTAGGGATTTATACACAAGCTTAATTAGAACATCGACTATATATATATATATATATATGTAATATGCAATTGTGCATTGTCCAGAATCAGTCTCTAATCCTTTGCAGCTTCATCTTCTGCACCGAACCGACGAAATTCCTGCCAGAATTAATTCAATGTGATGTTCTTGCCATCGAATTAATTATTTAAATTATTAAAATTGAAGGTTTTATTACATACTCCCATGGAAGATCTCCGGCGAGAAGACAATCGCCGTTCTTGTCTTCATACATTATCTGGTACTTGTCTCCGTCGTCTTCCCCAACTGCGAAATTGAATTGAATTGATGATTGAATCTTAATCATGGCAGATAATTTGATCGAAGATTTTATATATACATTACATTCTCCGAACAAGGCGACGAGGTGCGCCGTCAGGGACCGGTAAGAATTGTGGATGCTCAAATTGACTTTCCGGCCGATTCCGACGCCCTCCATTTTCACTTTCACGTAAGTCGAATTGTTGTTCTCCGGCCGTCTCGCGGCGCCGCCGTTCTCGACGTTGACGTAGTTGACGACGACGGCGGAGTTGTCCCGCCGGAGATTGGATTTTTTCTTCCAGGACTTCACCGGCGGCCATCCCACCGCCATTGCTCCGCCGTCCCTGCTCGTCGGAAAATTTTGTCATATTTCGATACCCTAAATTAATAATAATAAATTATATATACAGACCTATTGGGAAGGGCCAATTTCTTGCGATGAGCATTGCCGGAATTGATTTCAAGACTCTGGTCGAGGTTTAAAAACGCGTTTTCAAAAGAGCGCTTTTGGGTATTTTCTTCTTCTTCTTCGTTTGAAAGTGCGACTTTTGGTCCGACCTCCATATCTGCGGTTTTGATGGTGCCTGCAAGATTGAGAGGGTGTGTGTATATATATATATAGAGAGATATGTGTGTGTATATATATATATAGAGAGAGAGAGAGAGAGAGAAACGGGGGGTTGTGTATGTCGCTATCATTGCCAGGATTTCAGCCGACCCGAGAGAAAGAAAGTGTTGTGCTGTTCCCAAATGCTGAGCCTTTTTGGGACCCGACAGCTCTGCTTTAACCTTTTCTTTATTACATGAACACACACACACACACACACTTTACGTGCGTGTCTCTCACGCGCCATATCTCACTCTATGAAATATGAATTGTTTGTTTGATTTGTAGTAATTTGAAATTGGATATTAATTTCTGTTTTTATTGAAATAATTTTTTATTTTTATTTTTTTTGTAATAATAATAATTGATATATTTTATTAATTTGTGTTTTTATTGAAATAATTTTTTTTTAAATTTTTTGGTAATACTAATAATTGATATATTTTTATTTTAGTAAAATTTATTACATTAAAATATGCATAAAATATGATTTGATACATCATGTAGGACTTGCCTTGTTCTTTCAACCAAATTTTATTAACATTTTTTTAAAAAAATTAATATTTTATTCACTTCAAAATAATAAAAATATTTGGAATTGATACGAAAATAAAAAAATAATAGTATTATATTAGTAGTTGATGTAAAAATATTTTTAAAAGACCAAAATTTTTATATTTTATGTAATTATTGTGAAAAAAGTGGAGATAGTTTTGTAAAATATGGGAAAGTAATTACAAAAATGAAAATGAGACTATTGTTTTGAAGACGAAAATGGCAAAATGAGACTATTGATTTGAAACCGACGAAAATGGCAAAATGAGACTATTGATTTGAAACGGACGAAAATGATAAAATGAGATTATTGTTTTGAAACGGACGAAAATGACAAAATGAGACTATTATTTTGGGACGCACATTCATTATTTTTATATTACTTACATAATTCCCTATACCTCACGTTAAAAAAAAAAAAAAAACTAAAATACAAAACAAACAAATTCTCTTAAAAAATAAATATTTGTACCAATATTTAAAACTCGCGTTTGTTTCGTGAAATAGTTGGAATTTTTCTTTTTATACGAGGTATAGAAAAATATATAGAGAATACAAAAATAATAAATATATATAAAGTGTATTAATATTTTTTGAAAAATTGTCAGTAAAAAGATAGAAAAAACAAACTCACACTTCTTTTATAATTTTAATTTATGTTAATTATAAATAAATAAAAGTATTTTTTTATTTATTTATATTATAGTATGAAAGTTTATTCTCTATAAAATGAAATCTATATTGCATATATATATTTTTATTATAATATATAATTTTTAAAATATTTAAATACATAATAAAAAAAAAGTATTTCGATAAATAGTACATTAGTTATCTAACTCATGAAGTATACAATTTTTTTTATTTTAGATTGTTAACTATTTGTTTTAGTAATTATAGATTCTATAAATGGACGGAAGAAATATTTAATTAAAAACTAATCTTTAAATACAAACCAAATAAAACTATAAATCTTTTATTTTCTTTATAAATAGGAGTTATAAATTTTTGAATTGAAATAATTAATTCATCTATTAAATATATGTTAATATAATATTTTAAATATAAAATTTAATTTTTGTATAATAAAATAAATAATAAATAAATATTTAATTTAATATTTAAAAAAAAAATCAATTTAAAAAGTAAAATAGTACTAAAACACAAAACTCACAAACAAACATACCCATCACCGTGTTTAAATAAAATAAAAGCTTTTACGTAGGGTGTGTTTTGTTTGCTTAAAATTGATACAAACACACACGTTTGCTTGTTGCGTTATCTAATTTTCTATTAATATAACATAATTATTATTAAAATAAATTTCTCTATTAAATAAATATTAGGAGAAATATATTATTATGATAACAACCACTACTACTATTATTTTTATTAGTAACAAAATAATAATGTAAAATTGCACGTGTGGGATGGTGAATGGTTGACAAGTAGGACGTTAATATAAGATGTACATGAAGCTAATAATAATAATAATAATAATAATAATAATAATAATAATTGTTATATATTAAAATATTTTAGGGTTTTTATTGAGCCTAAAACTGGGTTTTAACGTTTGAACTCATGGATAAACCCAAAAAAAGTAGGTCTTCAAACACCCATTGAAGGAAAAGGTAAGTCAGTCGGTAGTTTGGTTAGTCGATTGGTCAGTCGCTTGGTTGGTCGGTTGGTCGGTCGGTAGTCTGTCTGGTCAATTGACCAGTCGGTAATCTGTCCAGTCAGTTGGCCAGTCAGTAACTCGTCTAGCCGACTAAGTTTGTCCGTAGCTTGTCTGGTCTGCTGGTCTGTCCACAGTTTGTCTGGTCGGCTGGTCGGTTGGTAACATGGAATGCGACCAAAGAGTGGTTCTTCAAGCGATTGCAATCGCGAGGGGGGTTTTCGTCAGTTACAACCGACTGCGCACACGATCCGATAACTGATTTGGAGGACATATAACAAGCAATTCGCGTCCGACAAAAGACATCTTCAATCAACATCAATTTTAGTGAAATTCGCTTTGGTGATCATCTTTTATTTTTCAGTATCTTCTGCTCTTGTTTTGCAGTTTGTACGGTATTTAGGGATCTTCAATTCCAGATATTACTGTAGTCAAATTCAAATTTATTTCGGATTTTAGTTTTTATTGATGGTTGAAAATGGTATCTAACAATAATAGTAATATAAACTAATTTTTTATTTGTGATTTATTCATGTATATGTATATTATTTCAAAATTACTTCAAAATAATTATGGCTAACTCAGAAATTCCTACAAATAAACTTATATACATTTAAAAATTAGTAAAAAACAAGTTGAACTGTGTGTGTGTGTTTAAATGTGGTCTCATCACTTTATCTCATTATTTGTTATATACATTATCAAGAACATTATATTATTTGTTTTATTTTAAAATTTATAAGATTTTTTAAAATAATAATTGGAAATTAAATAAATAATTTCCCCAATCACCAAATTTATGTTTATACTCTAAATAACAATTATTTTTCTACCAATTTGAATATTATCCACTATTAAATCATATGTGAATGCATTTTAAATGTACAATCACAATTTTGTCACTATCATTACATCACAATTTGAATTGTTTACATGGTTTGGACTCCAGTACAAAAAATACATTGAAAATATATGCAGATAGAGTTTTGTGTGTTTTAATTTGAACTCTCAAGTGTTCTTTATTTTTTATTATTATATTAGGTACAATATATGTGTCGGTATTATAAAAAATACGATCTTCGTCCAATTTAAAAGTAAATATTTATTTTGGTAGATAATATAAGAAATAATAATATTTTAATTATAGTGAATATATAGTTAATATTACTATAAAGACAATTTTGCCTTTATTTTTCAGTGCAAATATACCGACAAAGTAATACTCCCTCCGTCCAATATATCGTGTCTGCTACACTATAGACACGATATTTTAGGAGGAATGTGATTAGTAGATAATTAATAATGTATTTGTGAAAATAATTATCTTATAATATAAATAATTATAAATTAAGATTAAGATAACTAATTAGTTTAATTAAAATAAAAAAAATTAAAAAGTTTACAATGAGATTAAAGTGTGTAATCATTTTCCAAAAAAAGAAAATGACATGGAATGTGGGACGGACAGAAACGACAACGTAGACATGGTATGTGGGACGGATGGAGTAATATTTATTGGAAAGAGTCAGATGTTTTTGAAATAATTAAATACTCCCTACGTTCGTCTCTAAAGGTTACATTTACCTTATGAATCATTGTATTTAATATTAAAAATATCTTTATATTTGTATAATTTTTTATACCAATGTCTTTCTTGTATAATTTTTTTTTGTACCCAATCGAATGCAACACTTATATGGACATAGATATATGATGGTTTCACGATCTTTTGTTTTTGATTTATCAATAAATTAAATTAATTTAAAATTAAAAAAAGCCTTGTTTAAGTAAATATATATATATTTTTTATTATTTTTAAAAGCTTTCAAAACTTTAAGATTTAGGCCATGTTTAGATAGATAGGACTTTTAAAAAAGCTAAAAAATTTTGTAAATAATAATAAGTCTTCTCAATTCAAAAGTATCTATTTTTTGTTATACTAAAAATAAATATATTAATATCAAAAATATTCTTTTAACTTTTTTATAAATTACAAACATATTATTATATATATATATATATTATACATGATTAATTTATAAAAAAAATAAAAAAAGTAAAACTATAAAAATTATCTTAAACACTTTTATTAATTAATAAAATATTTTTATTTCTTAATATATTACTACAAAATAAAAAAAGTAAAACTATAAAAATTATCTTAAACACTTTTATTAATTAATAAAATATTTTTATTTCTTAATATATTACTACAAAACTTCAAATGGCAAATTTGGATTGAGAGTTAAATAATTTTATGGGACAGACTCTAGTCTAAGTAATAGTGCTAGAAAAGAAGAATAAATAGGTACTGATGTTATCTTTGGGGTGTGTTTGTTTGAGGGATTGGATTTTTCTTTTACTATTCATCCAATTTTTTTTTCCCCAAAAACATCAAATCAAACACCTATTTTTTATTTTTTATATTATACTAAAAATCAATTTTACATTCAAAACATCACATCAACACCTATTTATATCATATCATACAACTATTCAAATTCAAAATTTTTACTATTCAAATTCCAACTCAAAATCCAAACCTCCAAACAAACACACTTATGTAAAATTAATTTTTAAGATAATATTGAAAATAAAATATAAATGTTTAATTTTATATTTTCAGGAAATTTTTTTTACTCTTTTTATTTCACATAATTTGTCAATTCTTTCTATTTCAGTCGTTAGACATAATTTGTTATTTATTTTTATTTTTTGAAAATATAATTATACATTTTAATTATATTTTAAAAT